GGGGAAGGGCTCCTGTCCCACAGCTGGGGCAGGTCCCGGCGAGGCTGGGTGGGGGCCAGAGAAGGGGCACCTGTCCCCAGGCCATGGCAGCTCTGGGGCAGCTCCAGGTTGGGCAGCATCGCCAGCAGAGACCCACCTCCCCAGACGCAGCACGGTGCTGTTGCTGCCAGGGAAAGGAGCGATTCCTCTCCACCGGCCCCGGCAGGGAGCTGCTGTGGCTGGCAGGCAGAGGTGGTGAGCCCCTGCGCAGGGCTCGGTAGACAGCGGAGCAGCCGCACAACTTAGAGGGGACTCAGGTCGTGTCCTGGGGGGTCGCACGGAGGGAAAGGTTACCCCGCTTTGGGCCTCCTCCAGCTGGCAAGCCCAGTGCCCCGGTGGTGCCGCACGGGCTGGACACGGCCTGCTGACCGGTGTCTATTGCTTTGCTCGGCGCAGTGGCTCAGAGGGTCCTGGCGACGGAGAACCACGTGTTGTTGGTCGGTGGAAAGGCGTACCCGCTGACGGTCACGGCGCATGAGGCCAAGCTGAGCCCGGACGAGGTATGCGCGGGGTCCCCCCGGCCAGGCACCTGACACAGGGAGGGAGACTCTGCGGAACCATCATAATTAGGGTGCAAGCAAACTCGGTTTCTTTGTAAGCAGATGAGGCTTTGACGGGGATTTTGCTGATAACGTGCCGGAGGCAGGGCCCAGTGTTACATTGCGTCCGTCTGCATTTGGACCTGTCCAAGCGGGCGGGACCAGCAGTGTGTGCGAGGGGGAAGGGTGGCCTCAAACCCAGCCCGACTGTTCACACATGGCCAGGCCGGGGCTGGTGTTAAGTTCATGAGCCAGGCGATTTCCCCGCCCTGCCCCAGGGAGTTTAGGTGACAGAGACCTGGAGGCGATTCTGCCCTTCCTCTGATTTCTCTGCTGCTCTGGGTGGGACCCTGCTGTCTGTGACATCACAGTCGTCTCCACAGCAACTATGTGTGATGTCAGAGGCCGGCCCAAGGCAGCTGCAGCCAGGGCGGAGATCCTGGTGGCCCGAAGAGATCTCTGGGGTTGGGCTCTTTGCAGAGCTCTCTGCTCGCAGGGGTGCTGCCGTCACCGTATGAAACTCGTCCTCGGCTCCACTCCCTGCTCCCGGCCGCCAGCCGCCAACCCCTTCCTGCCGCAGGTGTCTCCGTGGGCAGCGCAGCACGAGGCTAATGTAGGTTTGTTTGCCTGCCCTTGGGGCGAGCAAACAGAGTACAAGGAGAGGTGGGGGCGCTGGGTACTCGGCCTTGAGGTGACCCTGTGCCAAGGACAGAGGGGGTGTGCAGCTGCTGGTCTCCAGCTG